TAAAAAAAACACTGAACACAAAGTTTTTAATCAATAGTTTAAAAATTAAAGTAGCATATTACTTATTCTAGGACGACGAGAAGCCTTCTGACGAAGTGCATTGAGTGAAGAACGTATGGAAGAGAGAGAAGAAGACCGTCGACGAGCTGCTCGTTCATTTCCGATGATTGACCGCTTCCCACCATTATTTATCTTGTCATTGGATGACTCTATGGGCTAATAAAGGGAAATACAACATATTCGGCTCGAAAATGAGTAACTGTTGCAAGAAAAATAAGAAGCGACATAAAATAAAGAATCCAATAAAGTTAAGCCCAAAACTCAACCTAACGTGACAAAAAACTGATTATTGAAGCCTAATGGAAGGCGGCGAAAGCTATAAATAAATGCTCACTATAAAATCAGCTTAGCATCATATTTCAACAGAAAAAGCAGTGTTACCTTGAGACAGTCCTTCAATTGATCTTTTGAAATAATTCGGCCCTTTCTATCCCGACGGACCTCTGGCTCTTCTGGCTAGAAGCAAAAATAAGCACATAATTTAACAATAAAATTAATTAAAAAATAATCAAAAGTGTAATTACCACTGCGTTTGGATTTTTAAGCCTCGAGAAATACCTTTCGAGCTATAAATATAGATGGATATTACCACAAGATAAAGTAAAGGCTGAGAAAAAATAGAAAAGTGCCTACCAATGAGCGATCAATAGTATGTACATAATATACAAAAGGCTTATCCGTCCAGGATACAGCATCCTGTATCGGATTAAGGCAAGATACATGCATAATAGATCCTATATCTAAAATAAATAAGAAAAGAAGCGATGTAGAACGAGTAATGAAATAACTAAGATGCCGTCATAAAACTCATACCTCCAAGATTCCTATCAGTTATCCTAAAATTTAGAGGACAAAACGCTTTTGAGGAGATAATTTTGGCTCCTTCACGTAGATTGGCAAAGCGTAGCTTGAGCTGATGGTCTACTTCGGGCCCGAAGGCGAAATTGTTTGCGAAAATCACACCTGATGATACAATTTTCTCTCTGTAATCCTCTGTCAAAAAATCTCCTTTTTCCAACTAAAATAGCATATAAATACAACAGAATTACACAAAATGGGCGATAAGGCTTCCCATAAAATGCCATCCAACGGCGGAATTCGCGATCCAATAAAGTTGCGCAATGCGCAGGATATTCCGCTTTCTCAATTCCAAAGCAATATTTAGATAGGCTCGAAGCAGCAACTTGCAATACAACCTGACCAACTCCTAAGATTATTCAAATAAAAGCAGCAAATAGAATTACCACTACCGAGGTCTATAAAATTATCGTCAGAAGAAATATTGACGTGTTCAATCATCTGGGAAACCAATTCAAAGGATGTTTCACCATAAACCTGAGGAGAGAAAGGTGGATATTGATTGAGCTTGTCTGGATCGCTAACAGCTCTATTGTAGCATTGCTGAATAATGAACTTCAGGAAGCCATGAGACGCACGTCTAGTAAGATATGCCGGAGTTAATCCCTGAGATTGCCACTACAAAAATAGTCACAATTAATTATAACCTGTTTTTTAAGTAGCGTGACCCTTTTGTTAAATAGATTACTAAGATCAAGTGTACAGCCATATGTCCTGTCAAAGTTTTCTATGAAAGAGTTTAGATCGGCATCATGACACAGCTCTTGAATATCTTGAACCATCCATTTTATCGCTTCAAAGACTTCAAAATTCTCCTCCTTGAACTCTCCGGGCTAAAAATTTATTAAATTAGTAAGTCATTTTTGAGTATTTTTTTAAATTAATGAGCGAAAAAACACCTTGCAGTCAGACCAACTGAAAGTCTCTTCGATATCTAGAGCAGGACTGCAGATATGGATAACCTGATGGTTAGACATTAGTCATATGGAGGTACAGACAGGCCATCTAAGGCGTAGCCCACCAGGCTCATGGAACGCGGCACAAACGAAAATCAAAGCAAAAAAACAATAGCAAATCAGGTTAATTATTAGACATAAAAATTATTTTTTGAATAAAAATTATTAAATATGCATGAAAATTATTAAATTGTTTATTTTTAAACAGTTATTTTTATATTTATTGGTTTGAGTAACGAAATTTGCATCCATTTTAGCTTGCTTCTACATTGTAGAAAAATATGGAGGTAGAATGAAAAGTTTTTAGCTTTGTAGCCTATTAAAATGTTCATTGGAATAGAATTATACGAATATTTACAGGATTCGCAATTTTAGTATCATTATTTACCCGACAAGTTTCTTGATTTTAGCCAACTCCTTCAAACTATAAAATGATTTATTGGCCGATTTATGATTTATTTGCAAAGCTTCTATTATTTAGATAAGAATCATGCTAAATAGACATTATCCTGCTGAGAAAGTGAGGGTTCTACAGTCTGTTTAAGATAAGAGGGCATTTTGGAGTACATTGCATAGCTAATTCAATTAGTAAAGCAAGTTTTATCTTTAGCTTCATTCAGCAATATAAGTTTAAATTGACTGCTTTATATCCCTTATTTTAGTTTGTAGCTGTACAACATTATACTTTTCAATGGTTAAATAGACCTACAAAAGCTTTTGAAAGAGGCCTAAGTAGGAAGCTTGTAGAGATCCT